CGTGAAGTGCTACAAGACCAGTGATATTGTTAATTAAGTGGAAATAGAATATAAAGGCCATGGGCAGTTATGTTTTATCATGTCTTACATTTAGCATTATTGATCAAAACTAAGTTTTGATGTCTAGTTCCTCTCATAAGCTTAATGCACGTATGTATAGCTAATGAAAAACTCATGTAGTTAGTGTATATGTATGAAGTGATCCATAATTTTTTTCTCTCTTTTAGTCCTATCTGTTTCATTAGAAAGCTATAGTTAAGGGTACAAAGTTTGTTACTCAAACTCAGAAGTGTCTGGAGCTCCAAGCACAGCGCAGTAAGGACACTAAACAACACTGTGTACCTGTACGTTTTTCAGAGGACAGATCACATGTGGTGTAGCTGTGCAGAACAAGGCCTAGGTTTAATCGCTTTACCGTGGTAATTACTTCACAGTTTATCTATGGGTCACAACATCCAGTCTCACACTTTCATATATATGCTTTTTAGATGTCAGTTGTTTTTTGCACAATAAAACCATTAAAGTAGAAAGTAATGGTTGACTAGCAGAGAGGGGTTTGCAGTGGCTGTACGGGGCCTTCAGTGTGCAGTGAACAATCAACAGAATGTGATGAAGCTTAAAGCAAACTTAAACATAACAGGCAGCAATAATGCATCATTTTATTGGATGCAGTTTCATGTAGAAAATTAAATTCAGAGCTCATCACTGATTCTGTATCGTGTGTCATAAACAATACACAGGTAGAAGAGTCCTTTTTTTTTTTTTGAAGAATTAACTGCAAATCTAAGATGCTTCCTTTGTGCTCTTACAAATTAGATTTTTTTTTCTTTCCCTTGAGAAGCCAGACAATAATGGGATACTCCTAAAAGCGATGGCTGAGCCCTGAGCCCCTGTCCCCGGGAACGCCATCTGTGAAGAATAGAGATGGATGCTTGGCATTTGGAATCCATTGTCAGTGAAATCCTCTTGTGCCAGTCAGAATAGAGGCCCCGAAGTCAAGGGTTCCTTTTGACGTATTCACTGCTTTCAGTAGCCTTGTCCTTGGGCAGCTATAAAGGACTTAATTTTTGCAAAATATAATTTTCTAACAGATAGAGATCTTCCTTTTGTAAAAGGTGGTAGAAAATGGGAGTTAATTTTACGTTTGATGTGGCCAGAGGATACTTGGCTGAGCTGGCGAGCAGCTGGAGGCCCACTGGGTGTCGGCCCGCTGGCCTTGGAGGCGACGCACACCAGCATTTCCAATCGCAGCTCGTGCGAGGTAAAATCCGCTCGCGCTGAGAACACCGCTGTGCAGGCTTGGAGGAAAAGGGGCAGTTAGAAATTCAGTGTCATACACCGTATGTGACTAAGATAAGACACAAAGTACTTGTAGAAAAATAAAAATACAACCAGCATTGATAAACTGTCCAAATAAAGGTGGCTTTATTTATAATCAGGAAATATTTGAAATTCTTTTAAATAGTTTATTATGAAATTTTTATGGTTAATAGTATTTGACAGGGCTTTGAATTTTGATTTGTTGTTCTGGGTATTCAACTAAAGGTTCTGATTTATAGAATAATAATTACATTTTGAAGTATTTATAATACACGGTGATGAATGAGAGCTTTTCAAAGTGCTGAACATTAGTAAGTCAGAGTTCTATAAATATTGTTTGCATGTCGAGTCTTTGGCTGCCTGAATAATAGTTTCATAATTGCAAATAGTATTTCCTTTTTTAAAAAAAAGTAATTTCTTGGAGAATTAGGTTTTGTTTTTTTTTTTTTCCATCATCGAAGACATATTTTATACCCTTTAAGAACTATGAAAAAAAAAAGAACTATGATTTTGAAAGCTAGTGTAGATTAAAACTGGTTGTTGCCAAGAGAAAGGCTGCAGCCACCTGAGCTCCAGGGTGCGAAACGAAGGCTGTCCCCGAACAGCCCTGAGCTTTCCTACTACGCTCGTCCTTTTCTTCATCTGTGATCAGAATAGCCCCTTTAAAAAAAAAAAAAAAGCTTCCTAAATAAACTCTAGTTACACATTTAGGGTCTGACATATTGTATGTATTGAAATCCAGCAAAGGGAGCCAGTTTAGAATTCCCATCAGGAGAGGCCCGCTGTGTGTTTGTGTGTTGCATGGTGTGGGTTGCGCTCTGTCTCGCTCACCCTCAGCATCTTGCCTGGTTATCGCAGCATTATTTACCCTGATTGCGCCCACAGCATTGAGATGGAGAGGTGTCAGGCACATCAGTAAAGCTGGACAAGCTATGAAGCTATTAAGCTATTTAATTGTACGTAACTTAAGAAGTCAGTTCATTCAGATTTTATATATATATATATATATATATATATATATATATATATATATATATATATATCTTAGTCAAAGATAACTCATAATCTGGCTCAGAAAAAATAGTTAAATAATTAGGGATCTAAAATAGTGTTCATGTTGCTTTACTCACTTGGTTTTATGCTCTATACATTTTTTTCTCAACATTTTGTGCTGCTTTAAGAAAAATGTCAATTGTAGTAATTTACCCTACTTTCTTGAGATTTTTTTTAAAAGATATTTAAATGGTGTAATTAAATGAATGACTCTTGCTCTTAAAATCCTCTGAGTAGGGACTGTGCTCTTTGCCACTGAGATCTCCTGAAGTGGCATACTTGGGCTAAGGGCCGCGTGCCTGTCAGTACTCCGGCGGAACAGTCCCCTAGAGAGCTTGGATGAGTTCTGACTCAGTGGCAGACCCTCTGTATAGAGACTGAGACCACCAGCACATTGGCTGCGCTCACAGGCCCGTACCTAGTGAACGTGTGCCACAAGGGCAGCGTCTGTGTTCTCCCACCCTGTTACACACGGAGTGTCACCAAGGGCGTACACCTCAATGATGTGGTCATCATGCTGTAGGATTCCCTTCCTTTGGTGTAAACTTTACAATCCGTTCGAGAGCCTAGGCTTTATATTCCTTACGTGCTTCACTCATTCTGTGGTGTACTCACTGCAGGAAAAACATTTTGAAATCTACCTTAGCAATAGTGTATGTAAAAAAGAATTTTCAAATGTATGAACTGCAAATTTTTATCTGAAAAAGCATTTTTAATTATATGAATTGGAGATTTTATAATATATTTTCCTGATGCGGTAATGGTTCAGAGCTTGGCTTTTTAACCAAGTACATAATAGTAGGATTTACAGTCAGTATATCAGTGCCTGGTACTAATTGTTGAGCTATCAAATAAAATTAAGAAAAAATTAGCATCTCTGAAAACAAATAAAAGTTTATTAAAAGTAATTAGCTGTCTGTTTTTGCTTCAAGTGAATGAGAGTCAAGGAAATTCAAGAGATAGAATAGATTAGGGATTAATGAAGTCTAACCAGATCACAAGTAAACATCGTTATTTGTTCAGTAGGTTATTACTATAAAAGTCATGAATGTTTAAAGAAAAATACAATGTCCTTCTCTTCCTATGATGTTTTGAATATTAACATAAATATTCATGAATGATGCGTATCAGTGCAGGTTACCTGTATGAATGTAAATTTCCATATAACTGGCCCCTTAGTGTTCATTGGATCGTGCTCTTGAATATGAATGTTCCAGCGTCTCTGTGGCACTGTGGATATAGCCCAGCTCATGAATATTCACACGCACAGCTGATCTTAGGGAAAGGAATCACGTCCGTGAAGATGACAATCTCGTTACCTTTCAGTAATGAGAACCACATTAGGATACTTGCCCAAAAACAGTGCTACGGCCCCTTGTTTGAGTTGCTTTCTTTCTTGGTGAATGATTGAAACTTTTAAATATGAATACTTGTGCTATTCATCTCTCTTCACAAAATCCCTCTGTCCTGTTAAACATAGAGAAGATTGTGCGTGATTTCATCCTGGCTGAATTTGTGGTGATGACAGTGAAGAACAGGAGAAAGTAGAGCTGGGTCTCTAGTCCTTCTCCTCAGCACACTGGCAGCGTTCAGGCTGCAGCTGAATTTCCCAAATTCAAAGCAGCCTGCTCTGTGGACCTGCTGCCTCCGTGGCGCCTGTTCTTACATGCTGAGGCAAGAGGAACTTAGGAACCCGGCTCTCCGAGTACAGGGAAAATGCATTCTGTGAGAGCTGAACTTTTAAGGTGTTGGCCGTAGGAGGCCAGGGTGGTGGCGACACACCGTTACAAATTACGTCGCACAGAGTTAGGCCCCAGCCCACGGTGCAGTGGCTTCTCCTTCACTGTGATGAGCGGCCTGTGTAACGTGGTGACCCAAGTCCGACGAGTGGTTATGAACAGGGATCAAAATCAGCGTGCTCACCCCCATCGCGTGTCATTAAGTAATCAGGGAAGCAATTCAGAAATCAAAACTGTTGCTGTGAAAGTTACTGACAAAGCATCAGTTTGTGTTTGCTGACACCAATGTTAGCAAGCCTGTAGGTGATGTTTTTCCCTCTCCAGCTATATATACTTTTGTCATTGCATAAGCCCTGTTCCTAAGCTATGCTCAATGAGAAACATTTTTTTAAATCTTGTTAACAGATCAATTTATGTTGATTTCAGTTAGTGTAATCGTTAGTTCTGCAAACATGTGCTGATGTTTTAAGTGATTGGATCTTTTTAGAAGTCTAAAATACTTCTGAGATCAGCGAAGGACAGCACCAGCCGCGCAAGCAGTTCTACCCCGGGGAGCGTCTGGCACGGTCTTGCAGGTCCCAGCCGTGGGATGGCCCTGCAGCCTGTGCAGCCTCGTGGAACAGTGGGGACTCTGCCCCTCTTTCCCTTCTGTGGGACAGTCCCCTGCAGAGCTGCCCCTGGGTCGGAGTGCCAGTAGCCCCGCCATCATGGAAAGTTTTGTTTGGAAAACCAATTCTATGTCTAAGACTTTTCGATAACCACTGAGTTCACAGTACTTTTTTAGACAGAGCAAGGAGAAGATGTCATATTATTTTATAAATAAAATGAAAAGATACTCAGTTTTTAATTATAAGTTTGAATAAATGTATGTTTTTTCTTTTTTATCAGCAACAATAGTGTTGAATGAACTCAACTGGACAAGTGCCTTAGACGAAGTTTTCAAAAAAAACCGTGAAGAGGACCCTACGTTGCTGTGGCAGGTGTTCGGCAGCGCCACTGGCCTGGCCCGCTATTACCCAGGTAGGTGGTGGGCTCGAGAGGCATCAGGTAGACGCGCGAGTGCCAGCTGCAGTGTTTCTTGTGGCCATGTTCCTAGGTCAGAGTCACCTTTAACCGGACTCCTAGGACACGACTGGAGAGGCTGTACCTGCAGCCGCACCAGGTAAGAGGAGCAGAGAGCCCAGGTGAGAGCCTGGAGCCGGAGCTCAGGGGAGCCCTGAAGCGTTGCTGGGATGACAGCACAAGGGGTCAGCATGGGCCCAACCGTACGTCACGGCGTACACTACGCACAGGGTAGTTCTAGAAACTGGCACAAATACATCTCTCCAGGTTTCAGGTCAGTGTCTATAATTTTTAACAGAAATGTTAACACTTTGCCTTAATTGATAAACATGGATTTATTAGGATGAGTCCCACAAGAAGAAAGATGCAATCCTCGGAAAAAGTGAGCTTTTGTGTGAAGTTGGATGGGTTCTACGCAGCTCAGTTGTCATAAATATTCAGAGCAGATGAAAACATTTTAGAAATTAAACCAGAATCTTTTGATCCTCTTTTTGTAAAGGAGAGTAAACAGGACTAAATGCTGATTTCTGTAACAAAAGTGAACAGTTGAAGACCAGGTCATCCTGAGAACACATTAAAATATTTAAATGAAAACTTTGTTAGTATTTTTAGCTTCTCTGCATGCCAAAGGAATTGCCAAGCACAAAATAGGTTTTCTTCCTCAAAGGCTTGACCTGAATCTTAAAGATGTTCTGGGAAATTTGGTTTTTGGTGGACACAATATAATTTTAAATAGCAGAGCTATTTTTTAGAATTGGGGCTACCTTAATGTGCTTAGTAAATTGAATTATTCATAGTAAAAAAGACTGAAATAAAAAGTAGATTGTATTAAGCTTTGTATTGCGTAAGAGAATACAAAGTAAGAGAACAGTGTCTGGGTATCTTCACACAGATTAGTAAGCAGAGTAGGTAAAGACCTTATTTTTCTCTCTGATCACAAACACCTAAAGACAGGTACAGTGCTAATTATTTTTAACAGAAATCCAGTACTCTAGAAAAAGCTAGGTTTGTACTAAATATTGTAATAAGTGATGTATAATAAAATATTGATGTTAATATCTGATGTAGAAAAAATTATCACATAGGTAATTATCTTAATATAATTTTCCTCTTATAGAAATATTTTTCACTATACTCCAACATTTATAAGACTAAGTTACTTTGTTAACATATTGCATATTACATGTCAATAAATTGTAAAATTAAATTTATAAGATATTATAAAGAAAAAAGGCAAGCTAAGAAGCGTGTATCCTAACCCTAAACCTTACGCTAACCTTAATAAACTTATTATATAAGCCTCAAAACTCTGACATTTCTGAATATAGTTAAAAACTAAGGAACTTAGACACCTCACATTCTACCTAATAAAACACAGATCAAATACATTTATCAATAATATCAGTAAGTAACTTAAGAATCTTTTAAGAAATTTCCTCCTTATAAAATTTAATGTGTGTCCAGTTGATGAAAATGGAAAAAGTGTTACAGAAAATTAGCATAATAATGAAAAAGGAAGAGCCCTGAACCAGAAAGAAATGGATGACACAAGAAAGAGACAGAAGGGCTGCGGGAGGGAAAGGGCCAGAGAGCCACCATGTGGGCCTGCGTGGGCCGAGGCGGTAAGGCCCTGGAAGGGAAGCTGGGCTGGGCGGAGCGCTTCGGTATCTGTGTAGATAACACTTGTGGAGATGGCCCTAAGCTGTCTTCTGTGATTCGCGCATTGTAAGTGCTAAGCCAGGGAGGATGGCTTTCACTCATTTAACCTAATGGGGCACCAGCATTTGCTCCTTCACTTTGGGAAGAACTTCAGATGCTTTGCATAGCCAGATCCGCACAGTCCTCTGGGAGCGTGAGCTGCCGCAGTAGGCGCAGGCCCAGCGCATGGCCTGTTGGTCGTCACTGGGCAGCAGATGTGTTGGGCGACCACCCCATAGGCCCCCAGCCCCAGCGTAGCTAGTGCTGCCTGGGCCTGTCGGGGCTTCTTCCGAAGACCCCCGCACTGCTTCGTGGATATTCGTGGCATTTCGCTGATTCTCTTGCTGAGCTGGTCTTTGTGACAATAGTGATGTAAAGTAGAACTGAGTCGCTAGCTGAGGCACGATCGCAGTATTAGAGTGAATCAATGTATTTCTGTTTCCGCAAGACGTGCTTGCCAAACTTTCAGAGAACGTTTTTTCCAACACATCCCACTTTCCCCTCTGATGCTGAGGCTCTGATGGGAGCCGATGCAGAGCGACGCATCCCTGCTTACTGCCTGTTGCAGCAGAGGCTGAGCTGGTCTTCCGGGTCATGCGTCATGGTCTTCCGGGTCAGCACACATCGTCACTTACCTGGATTTCACATTGAGACTTGGCTTCCAGCAGCGCCCATCCCTGCAGCCCTGAGAACTTGGGTAGATGTCCTGATTTTCCAGAGCCTCCTCAAATCTGGAAAACAGCAGTAATCCTCAGTGTAGCACCTGCGGGGTTTTGTGCTCAGTGAGATAATATGGTGGGAAATGCTCTGAAATTAAAAAAAAAAAAAAAATAGTAACTGTATCCAGGTCTGCGACAGTGTATCAGAATAACTCTGTGAGCTTTCATTGCATTGAAGAGACTAAGCAGTGTGGTTGAGGTCAGGGTCCATGGGCTGGGAGCTGACACGGGTACATGGACGGCTTTCACTGTGCCCAAGCATGGGCCTGGGCAGCGCCAGGACCCGTGAAGCTGGCCTCTCCCCTTCAGTCACTTCAGGATTGCCAGAAATAATAATAAAAATGATGTTGAGACTTAAGTCTGAAGTAAACAGTGGAGACCCATTCTGCATAAGTATGCCTCCTGCAATATTCGGGACATATTTTTTTGTAAAACATGATGTTTTGTGTTTAAATTTAAACTAACTGGCTGACCAGAGAGCTCTGCGGATTAAAGTGCCTGCTTAGATAGATGCAGGGACTGGGGTTCAATCCCCCTCATGCAGTGCTGGCCCTGCCCCCAGGGCACATTGAGCAATGGATTGAGACCTGCTGTGGGGCATACACCCGTAATCCGAGCTCTTGGGAGGCTGAAAACAAGAGAATCACTATGAGTCCGATCTGTGTAGTTAAACCCTGTAGACCCTGTACTGAATGCAAAGATAAAAAATAAATAAACTAACTACTTTTAATTTAAATTTGAACCTAATTTTAATTTAATTTTTAAAAATTATAATTTTTAAAGAGAATAAGTATTAAAAAGAAAAATTAGAAATGATACAGAATTTCACTAAACAAAAGGACACAAATTCAGTAATGGTTGCTATATTGCATATTGTGTCGAGATTACCAGATATAAGCATGAAAAATTGGTCAAAATAATTAAAAAGAATAAAAAAATTAAGTATTGACTTCCTTTCAGCAAACCAGCAGAAATCAGCAGCAGTCATCCAAGCTGGCCTGTGTACGTCCATAAGTAGTTTTTCACCCTTCTTTCTTTCTCGTCTCCTTTCCCTCCTCCCAGTTGTCCCTTCCCTTTCAACAGTTTCTTTCCTTTTCACAGTATCTATTATACCTTTCAGATTTTATTTATTTTTTTAGGTTCTTATAGTGGGGAGGCAATACTTTCTTTTGTTTACAGTACGAGGGCTTAAGCTCAGTACCTTCTCATCTAGCTATTTCTCAGCCTCTTTTTAATATTTGTCTTTTATTTTGATACATGATTTTGCTACATTGTCCGGGGTATTGACTGGGGTGGGCTGGTGAGCTCAACTTGCGGTCCTCCTACCTCAGGCTCCCAGAGTTCTGGGATTACAGGTACAAATCAGCATACCTAGCTTGTCCTGAAACTCTTTCTGCTACATCTGTTCATATTCTCTCTCTGGTTCCCTGAGCCTATATTTGTAACATGGGAAAGTCATCTTCCAGTCATGCCAGAGTGGTGAGAATCAAATAAAATCTATTCTACGCACACTCCCAAATAGAACTCTATGCTCTTCTCTAGTTGTGTAGGATACTGATTTTTATTTTATTTGCTCAAGCAATGATTTGCTACAGAATTATTACAATTAAATGTTTGCAGAACCTAAAATCTCACTCATGACAAAGTCTCAAAGGTATTCTTGCTTGTTGTTAAAGGCAGAGTTTGGGCCCAGCCCCAGACAGGGAGAGGCTGTAGTGATTCACCCAGGGGACCGAGGGCAGGTCTGCACGTCCTGCCTCCTGCACCGCCTGGGTGGCGACCTTCAGCAACCGCCTTGGAACGAGGAGGTCATGAGGCTCAGCGATGGAATTGTTAGGAGAACGGGGAGTGTCCAAGGCATTCTTCCTCACACTGCCCAGCAGTAGAGGAAACCAGGGATGGTCAGCCCCCTTTTGTGTCGTTTACCAGTTTTCACGTATGTGGAAGCATGGCTTCTACTGGGAGGTCTGTAGAGACGAAGACTGGCTCCAGGGATAAACTATAAAAAGTCCTGCATTTGGAACGCAGTGAAAGCCTGAGCCCCCACTTCTGTCCTTGGACTCAGCCTCTGCCCACTTTCGAGTCTGGTGGAAGTATCTAAGAATGGAGCTGTGAAATCAGTGCTGTCTCTCTCCTCTCCCTTCTCCCTTCTCCCTTCTCTCTTTCTCGCTTTCTCCAGCCACTGTCTTCTCCCTCCTCCTCCTCCTCCTCCTCCTCCTCCTCCCCAGCTTGGAGAAAGGCATGTCATGTTTTATAATAGAAGCAGCATTAAACCAGGAAAAGTTCTTGGCTCCTGTAACAGCTGTATTGAGCACCCTGCTGGAGTCTGTTCCGTTCACACCCTCTCTGTCTCTGCCTGTTCACCAGCAGCTTGGCAGCTTGGCGACACGATTCCCAAGGCAGGCATAAGCACCGTCCCCTGGGGTCCAGGGCTGTAGCGTTTGCTGTGCCCACAGTCTTGTTTGCGGAGCAGCTCAGATGACGTGTCTAGCATAAGCATGGTAGGCCGTGGGTGGCTCCTGGAACCATGAGCGCAAGCTC